ATATGTGCGTTCATGCATGTGTGTGTTTATGTATGTTCATGCATGTGTGTGTTTATGTGTGTTCATTCATGTGTGTGTGTATATGTGCGTTCATGCATGTACGTGATTAATGATGATTAATTGTGTTCCTATGTAATGAAAAGTATTTACTTATTGTGCTAAACTAAATTTAATATTGTTTGAATAATGCAGATATCTCATTCAATATTTTGTAACTTTGTAGTACAGTTTCTTTCATGTTTGTTTAACATTGCATATGTATTTTTAACATTGAAATCCTTTGTGGAAAAGATTAAGTTGTTTAAATTCTTTGTGTGCTTAATTAATGTTAAATGTATGCAGTATCTCCAGCAGTATGTATGCCATGCCAAATGTATGCAGTATCTCTGTATGTACCATTGTAACACGAGTTAGGGTCCTCTCTCTTTACTTCTCTTCCTTCTACTCCCTCTACCCGTATTCTTACTTTTTATTCTCTACCAAGGGACTCCAAAACTTTTACCAAAGCCAACTCCACGCCACGTGGTCCTAAGACGATTGACCGACTTAGGATTCTACACCCAGTATGACGTGACCTAGGCTCTGAGCAAAACCCTAGAGTCGCCTCTACGCTGCCACCACCAGACCAGTAACACAAGAGCAATGATCGAGGTCTGGATCGATCACGCTAATTAATCAACCTTGGGGCTTGATCCCCACTAGTAGTTTATAACCTCGGAAACTTGAGTGTGGAATTAATTACACGGGAATGATTCGATGTTAGAATCGGCGCCCAATCCAACTCTGCCTCGTGTGGACCACGTGACCAGGACAAGCATACACATAACCAAATGGAAACAATAAAATGCAAATTATTAACTTAATTTATTAAAAGAAAACTAAAACAAAATCTAAATATGTTCACTCCCTGTCACTTTAACACTCCCTACTTGACCTGAGTGGCAAATGAGAAGACTATCCCTATAATTAACAATAGCAACTATACCTTGGGCGACCAGCTCTAGATGTTGGGCTGGTCTTGGGGAGAGGTAAGATGTTTGACCTCTCCCAGCTGCTCCCGTTTCCACACTGATCTCTCCCTTGTCTCGTCTACCCCAGACAGAACATTGTATCCTTCCGCCTAGTCAAAGTTTTACCAAGTTACTAGCCAGGTTTAAGTTATAACAATTAAACTCTGTTGTACTTAATTGATCCAGACTGGTTGAATTATTTTACTGAAATTAAATTACACAAACATCTACAGCAGAGCTGTTCCCGATCCCCAAAATGGTTAATTGAACTTTGAGAAATATTAGACATGTCAACCCTGCTGACCTATGACCGCCGGTCACTCCGCCTTACAAGTTAGATCTGATTCGTGACGTCACTGATGGTGACTTAAACTCAATAATTAGAATACTCTTGATATTGTATCCAGTACTATTATACAATACAATTTTAATGCAAAATGAATAAAGGCTAATTTTCTCTAAATTACTGAATACTATAGGATGATTCATTATACGCAGCTATGAACAAAGCGTCGGTTATTTCCACCGCGAATTCCCCTGGGGGTCAGGTCACCATGCGGGCTCAGCTTCCCATTCTCTTTTGTCGATAAACCACTCTGGATAATTCTTACAACCAGCCTAGTTTGTTACAATATGTGTTGAATTTTTTTTATATTTTAATATATAGATTAATATATATATATATATATATATATATATATATATATATATATATATATATATATATATACATATATATATATATATATATATATATATATATATATATATATATATTAATATATATATATATATTTCATAAATATATAGATTAATATATATATATATATTATGGGTTATGTCATGGGTTCGTATCCTGGCCGGGGAGGATTTACTGGGCGCAATTCCTTAACTGTAGCCTCTGTTTAACGCAACAGTAAAATGTGTACTTGGATGAAAAAACGATTCTTCGCGGCAGGGGATCGTATTCCAGGGACCTGCCCGAAACGCTACGCGTACTAGTGGCTGTACAAGAATGTAACAACTCTTGTATATATCTCAAAAAAAAAAAAAAAAAGGAGGGATGTCATGTTCACAGAAAATGGTACCATCCGTTTTCTATGTGCGGCGGCTGAGACGCCAGAGAGAAGGTAAACAAGAGAGCGTACAGGACGCCCGCCAAGCTTGGTAGCTAATAGTCATGTAATCATTTTAAGTATTAAAGTCAGTAACCAAGTCATGACTTTACATCAATCCTACAACCAAGACTTCCTCAGTAACACACAAACACCACAGTACTTACACATTTCTTGGACACCATTGATGGTTTTATCTCTAAATTCCGCGATTTTTTCACATTCCATTATATAATGACGCAAAGTATGCGAATAGTTCTGCTGACAGAGTTTACATTTAGTCAAATCTACATCAGCAGATGTTACAAATTCCCAGAGGTACTTGTAGCTGAGCCTAAGCCTAGCAGTGGTAACATCTAGAAGTCTGCTAACATTATTGGATGACCCATAGACGTGCGGTACTTCCTGGGTCATTATTGAAAATTAAGGTTCTTCAATTTATCCTTATATTTGTCCCATAGTTTTTTGTTAAATTTAACTACATGTGGACATAATTAAGAGTTAATTTTAAAGTCCAAAAAGAAAGAGACCGCAATATATGCCTAGTCCTTGTTTGGTTGACTGTTTGAGATAATCAAAAATCCCATTGTGAGTTATATATAATTCGAAACATATATTCAGATCAGTGTTTGAAGTTTTCTCTTCTTATGAGGATTAATAATTTGTGATATTTATATCTTAAAATCATTCGAGTTAATAAAATTAAGTCGCCGTGTATGCTTCTCAAAGTTTAGAAAAGTTTCCTGTGGATGAACATCATTTTTCGGGGTAAGTTTTTTGTTTTATTAACGAGCTGGTGCACAATAATGTGCTGCTACATTATTCAGTATGAATAATTATTGATCAAAACTAACTATTAGTTCACCTAATATCCATAATTCACAGCTAGGATATCTTGGAATATTCTTGAGTGTATGATGTGCTTACAAAGCTCTAATTGAGTAATAGTAAATAACACAAATACACAAAATTTGTATTTTGTTGTATATTTGTATATTTGTTGTACACAAATACAACAAAATTATTAAGGATGGTAACAGAGTCCATTTCCGTTGAGTGTAACCTTGGATTGTCAATGAGCAATCTGAGAGCAGCAGTACACCGAGAACTTCAACAAGATCTTGTAGATCTGAGGCAAAGTGAAATTGACAGCAGTAATTCCATCTATCGTCATACTATCATGCAAGAGGAGCCACACATCTATGGATCATCCAATAAAATCAGCAGACTTCAAGATGTTACTACTGCTCGGCTTAGACTCGGTTACAAGTATCTCTGGGAATTCTCATTATCTGCTGATGTAGACCTGACCAAATGTAAACTGTGTCAACAAAATTATTCGCACACCCTCCGTCACTATGTGATGGAGTGCGAAAAGATACGTGAATTTAGAGACAATTCTATAACCAATGTTCCAACGATGTGTAAATATTTCATTCATTTCTGCTACCAGAAATTTTAGCCAAATATCCCCAGTTTGCTAACTGTAGGTAGTAACTGAGTGATTGTAACCTATCCACCGCTGCCCACTGGATGGGGGGCGGTGTGCAGGACAAACATATAAATTTTGACACTAGCTCTCCACATGTCAGTTGCTAAATTTAGAACCTGTACTTGAGGTCGATCTCGAACCCATTGTTGATGTGACGACTTATATCGAATTTTGTAACTAGCTCATCAAGATTGTAACTTGCTTAGCTAAATGAATTGTGGGGTTCAGTCCCTGAGCCCATTATGTGCCTCTGTAACCCTTTCCACTACCGCCCACAAGATGGGTATGGGGTGCATAATAAATGAACTAAACTAAAAGTAATAGTAATATTTTTACAAGAGGTTGTAAAAATGTGAACCTTATGAAAATTGAAAGCGTACGATTAAACTCAAATTACGACATTGTATTTACTTAAAGAAAAAAGAAAATCAAAATAATCCTTAGAATGGGATGAGAGTCCAAGCTCGGGCAAGTGAGTCTGCTTATCGCGTGGGTGTGTGAACGCGGCCCCACATCCGGATACAAGTCACATTGTACACAAGAATATTAGTTGAACTTATAGCTAGTTTTTTTTTTGTTTTTATCTACACTGTAATCTTTCATATAGAATAGGGTAGCAACACATTGCTGTGTATACCTAAGCTTGTTAATAATAATAATGAAAAGACGATTCGCCAGCGGATTTTGATAATTATAGTTCAATTTTTTTAAATGTTTAATGATAATGATAATGTTTATTCAGGTAAACATACATACAATTTATTTGTTATTTATTTATTTATATACAATAAAGCACATTGGTTTTATGAGAGCAGTTTACATAGCATTGATGTTTTTACATTCTTGTAAAACAACTTAAGCCACTAACATGCATAGAGTTTCGGGCAGCTCAAATTGTCATTCAAAATGAGTTACAAACAGAATGTTTGATTTCTAGATAGAGTTAGTATATACTATACCAAAAGCCACTAATACGCACAGCGTGTCAGGTAAGATGTGGGAACAACACTTAGACTGAATCTTAAAACTAATTGAGATCAAATCAGACCAGTAATTGAAAACCTACTTATCCTAATCTAGCTCAACCCAACCTAACCTAACCAAACCCAAACTAACCTACCCAACCCATTAGCATAGCAATGGGTTAACAATACAATATAATTCTCTGCCCGGAACGCTATGCGTACTAGTAGCTTTACAAGAATGTAAATGAACCATGCTATGTACTCTCATAAACCCAATGTACCTTCTTGTAAATGAATAAATAAATAAATAAATAACTATATATATATATACGGTTTTAACAAACGGAAAACGAGCTCGTGTAAAACGGAAAATGGTCTCGTGTACAAAACGACGCCTTCCCCCCCCCCCTCTCCCGTGGTAAACACCCCCGCGCCCTGAGAGTGACGGAGGACTGCCATGAGACTCTGCTGAAATAAGGCCAGATGAAGATGGGGCTGAACAACGTGCTGGTATTATCCCAGGTGACGACATACATCCTGACGCTGCTGTTGGCGCTCTGTATCATCATCCCCATCTTCTTCCACCTCAGTGACTTCAAGTGAGTGAGGCACTCGGGACCTCAGAGGTGTGTGTGTGTGTCTGGGCCTCTCAACACTGATACAACCTTTATTTATTTATTATTTATTTATTTATATACAAGAAGGTACATTGGGTTAGAGAGAATACATAGCATGGTATTTACAATCTTGTAAAGCCACCAGTACGCGCAGCGTTTCGGGCACGTCCTTAATCTAACAGATAATTTTAAGTAGGTAAATTCTAGCAGAATTAATAAAATGATAACAGATACATTGCAAGAAAAAAATGAGATGAGAGGGAATAGTAAGTATATTAAAGCACATTGGTATATTAAAGCTCTGTTTGATTACATTGACAACTTGATTGGTAATTTAAACAAGATTAACAGACACCGTACAGCAGATTGATAGCACATAAAAGAAGGCAGCAATGATCACAATGGTAAAGATGTTCGGATTGGGTACATAAAGATTGGGAGATTGGGTAGCAATAGATACAGTGCAATTTTAAAGCAACATGGTAAAAAAACTATGCAGATGAGATTAGGTATTTTTTTAGTTTTGTTTTTGAATGACGCAAAAGTTGGACAGCTTTTCAATTCATTAGGGAGTGAGTTCATAGACTGGGTCCCTTTATTTGCATAGAGTGTTTACACAGATTAAGTTTGACTCTGGGGATATCAAAGAGATATTTATTTCTGGTGTGGTGATAATGGGTCCTATTACATCTGTCCAGAGAGAGTTTCAGAGTAGGATTTGCATTTAAGAACAGGGTTTTGTAAATGTAATTGACACAAGAAAATTTGTGGAGTGAGATTATGTTTAGCATGTTAAGGGAGTTAAACAAGGGGGCTGTGTGTTGTCTGAAAGTAAAATTTGTTATTATTCTAATAGCAGATTTTTGCTGGGTGATGATGGACTTGAGGTGGTTTGCAGTGGTTGAACCCCATGCACAGATACCATAATTAAGATAGGGATAGATTAGTGCATAATATAGAGATGAGAGCAGAGTAAGGAGCACTAGCTCTCCACATATGTCAGTTGCTTAATTTAGAAACTGTACTTGTGGTTGGTCTCGAGCCCATTGTTGATGTGATGATGTGCATTGAATTTTGTAACTAGCTCATTGAAATTGTAACTTGCTTAGCCAAATGAATTGTGGGGTACAGTCCTTGAGCCCATTATGTGCCTCTGTAACCATTTCCACTACTGCCCACAGGATGAGTGGTTGTGTTAAGTTCATAATAAATGAACTAACTGAGGGAACACTGCAAGAAAACATATACTGCCAACTGGTAGGTCTGTTTATTACATCAAACTAAAATTGTTTACAATAATTGCTGTAACCTAACCAGATCTGGACTGTTAGGCAGTATGGGCATCAGTAAAATATCTGAGAATTGTTTCATGAGAAGGGTGTATAGTACCAAGGTGAAATAAGGGGTCATGTGGTGGTGGCAGGTGACAGTAACTCAAAAGAAAAGAGTGGAAAAATATAGAACAGAAAGAATGGGTAGAGGGCTTGAAATAGTATTACGTAAAAATGCAATAAATGAAAACTGGTTCGATTTTAATCAAAGTTTTTTGACAAGTTGTATATGAAATTGGGTTCAACTGCTCCAAGTCTCAGCATCGTAGCCTAAATAGGAAGGGAGAAAAAAATACAGTATTGAATGTACCTGTATGGGTCAAAAATTTTCCAAAATGGTCAAAAATTAACATCAAACTCAAGTGTCAAGTGAAATCATGTCTATGACACTAAGCTATCACAATAGCATATAATAAAGTGTTTTAATATTTAGTTTTATGCAAAAAAAAATATAAAAATTTTAGATTTTTTTTCCTCGATTTTTTGTTGTCATATTTTATATCGAGCAATTTGCATGAAACTTATATACCTTACAGAACGTAAGCCTATCTGTAAGGGTGCAAATGTTGGAGGAAATTCGTTGATGCCAACCTTAACCATGGTTGTAAAAATGAGGACCTTAAACATAATACAGAGTACAAAACACAATCAAATGTACCCATAGTAGGAAAACAGCATGTAAAGGATTTGGGAATAATAATGTCTGACGACCTAACGTTTAAGGAGCATAACCAAGCAAATATTGCGACAGCCAGTAAAATGATAGGATGGATTACGAGAACTTTCAAATCCAGGGATCCCATCACAATGGTTGTACTCTTCAAGTCACTTGTGTTGTCCCGTCTTGAGTACTGCTCAGTACTCACTTCCCCCTTCAGAGCAGGAGAGATTGCTGAAATAGAGGGAATACAGAGAACATATACGGCACGCATAGACGCAATAAAGCACCTAAATTACTGGGATCGTCTGAAAGCCCTCCAAATGTACTCACTAGAAAGAAGACGAGAGAGATACCAAATAATATACACCTGGAAGATACTGGAGGGCCAAGTACCAAATCTACACAGTAAAATAACAACGTACTGGAGTGAACGATATGGAAGAAAATGTAGAATAGAACCAGTGAAGAGCAGAGGTGCCATAGGCACAATCAGAGAACACTGTATAAACATCAGAGGTCCGCGGTTGTTCAACGTCCTCCCAGCAAGCATAAGAAATATTGCCGGAACAACCGTGGACATTTTCAAGAGGAAACTAGATTTATTCCTCCAAGGAGTGCCGGACCAACCGGGCTGTGGTGGGTATGTGGGCCTGCGGGCCGCTCCAAGCAACAGCCTGGTGGACCAAACTCTCACAAGTCAAGCCTGGCCTCGGGCCGGGCTTGGGGAGTAGAAGAACTCCCAGAACCCCATCAACCAGGTATCAACCAGGTATCAACCATGAGTGGCAGAATCTTTGACTTCATTTATTGTCAAGTAACATAAAATTGACACTCATTTTTTTTTCAGTTTACATAAAATTTACACCCTATATATAGTGCTCACGTCTCTGCAATCTCTATAAAACATTTTATTCCTAAGTTCATTTATTAATTTTATAAATATTTCTGAACATGAAAAATTGGCATATATTTTGGGGGAACTTTGACTACTTGTATTAGTAAAACTAAACATATTTTGGATAATCCACCTCATACAAATCCTTTATTATATGCTAATGTGATAGATGAGTGTCATAAAAAGGATTTCATTTGAAACTTGTGGTTGTAGTAAATTATTGAAAATGTGCAAAATTCGTTGAAAAAAAAAATCCCTCGCTTTCTATTTAGGGTACGATACTGAAACATAGAACAGTTGCAGCCCTTTTTATATACAACTAGTAAAAAAAGATTGGTTGACATTAAACATTTAATATCACGTAATACGGCCCCTTAGGGGTTTGTATGATGATAAAATCTTCTTGAGAAACTTCTGCTGTCCCCACTCCTAATTGGGAACTCCTGGGAGGACGTAAGGCATTGGAGCTATAGATACCTTCATAGATATTAGTTATATTACAGTTCCAGATGTTACTTACCATAACCTAACCATATTTCTCAGACGTCTTATCCTTATATGCACATTTACATTACAGGGGCCACTGCTTGCTGTTCAGCAATGGTACATGGCGTGAGACAGATGGCCAGTTTGTGGTGTCTTGGGCATCACAAGGCTTTTGCGATTATAATCTCACCTGGGCCTCTGTCTCGCTCCTAATTGCCCTCATCCAAACCTACAGGTTTATAGTACAGATTTTCCGTGGAACAGAGAGGTAAGATGTACAGTAACTTGGTGTGTGTGTAATTTTGTTTGTTTTTGTTCCTTTTTTAAATGATAAATATAAATTTTTATCTAAATTTTATACTTGGTCTATCTCAAAACATATAGAATGTACTCTAGAAGTGAGGTTATAGACATACTGTATATTGTATACAGTACTGTAATTAATCATGGGTTTTATAGGATATTGCCTTAAAGAGCAATTAAATAGACTGGGTTAGAAAGGTACTTTTCACATACAGTCAAAGCCAGATTTTGTAATTTGTGATTCTGTGTCTTGAGAGCTTCATTGTATTGAATTGAAACAACAATATTTATTTTTCAATATTGGGCAGTGCAGAATAGTGGAAGTTTTTGTTTGAAAAAAATACAATATACTCTCTTTTTAAACTTGATGGGGGTGAGTGTTTTATCACAGTCAAGCTGTGACACAACACAACTGTACTACCTACCCATCATCATATCAACTCAACCACTTCTACCCTACAATCCACAATCAATCCATTCCCATCCCAACCTCATCCTCCATTTCCACCCCAACCCCTCATCCTCTATTTCCACCCCAATGCCCTCGTCCTCCATTTCCAACCCTTCAACCTTCACTGTATGCCCAACCTAAACTTTCCCACATTAACCCATTCCCATGCACCAAATCCCCCTTCCCCTTTAAATTTAACCCCATCCTTATTTCAAGGGGCCCATTAGAGCAGTGATTAACACAGTTTACACATGAAAGGATTCAGGTTCAGTTCCCGCACAGGGCAGAGGCAGGTCAATAAATAGGTGCCCAGGAGCTTGGCGACTGTTGTGGGTGGCATTCAGCGATAGGTAAGTTGTTGGCTTAGGCAGACCTTGATAAGTCTAGCATGCATACTGTCCTTGACAATGGGTAACCAACCCATACAGAGAAATAAAAAGGTATTGTTTGTATTTTGGTACTGTATATACATTGTATGAGGGATCAAGGAATATCCTCCTCAATTGGGTATTTCTAGTTTTAATTGGCCTTAATTCATTCTAAGTAAGGTAAGGAAATTGTCATGTGGAGGTACTAAGCAAGGGGTGACTAGCACTTTTAGTAATTCAAGAATACAGACTTACTTGATATTCCATACAATTTAACATGTGGTGTTGCTTGAAGAACTTGGATTAGTGGTACAATACTGAGGTATAAAGGAGGGCATTGCTATTTTCAGTATTTTATGGAATTGTTTGTATTGAAATAAGACTAGTTTTAAAATTTTTTTTATTTTTTCTAGTTTAAAAAAAATAATAAGTGACATGGTACTGTCTTAATTGCTCTGAAGTGATAAACCCATTTCTAATTTTAATGTTTCCACCTTTGACCTTAGATGTACTGTATAAACATTAGGTGCACTTCTCATGGTAGAATATGGGATGGGTTGATTTATTGGCAGTTATTAAATACTGCAGTTGAACTTACATTTAATTGTGTATTATGAATGCAATATTAGGTTATAATTCTTAAAATAATTTTTTCCTTTCAGCACATTCCTGAGTGCATTCCTTGATGTTGTGGTAAGCCTCGTGATGTCGATTGCAGCCCTGACAGGTGCACTCATCATCACTATTGGCTACCAGACCTGGTGCAATGCTATCATGCTACGTTTTGAGGCGTAAGTTATGTTTTGTGTTTTCCTGTTGTCTTCTTAAATGGCACTGGTTTCTGTTATTTATTTTAATGCGTTTCCTCGTGTTCTATGTTGTTCGTTTTTATTCTACCCATTAAGTCTATATGTATCTTTAAATTTTAAGTTCATTACAGCATTCATAATGGATGTAGAATATTTTTATACCTTGTAACTTCAAAAATCTCATCAATAATTCTAGAAACATATGTTACACTTCTTCTAGAAGCATATCTACAGTGAAGTATAGATAGTTGTGCATAAAATTAGTTTTCTCATTACTGTAAGTGCTGTATGTACATGGAGTAAAATAGATGTAAAACTAGGAAATTATATTAAAGTGTAAATATGCCCCCTCAATATATGTAAAGGTTGAAAAAGTGGCATGAATTCATTGTTTTTATTATGAGTTTCTAGTTTCCCTCTTGCTTGAAGCATGTTAATACTTCATTGATATACAATTTTAATGTTTAATTGAGTAACAGGTCAAAGAGGGTGCATCAGTTAGGTAGCCAAAATGGAACAGGCCCCACTTTGTCCCAAAAATGTCAAACTATTACGGTAATTGCATTTTGTTCTACAATATCTACATCATACAGTATCTACACATGGGTCCAGTTGTACAGTGGTCTACATAATCGGTTTGCAATCGAGGGACCCAGGTGCAATCCTCAAGTGGGATAAAAATGGTTGGGCATGTTTCCTTTCACTTGGTCTCTGTTGACCTAGTTGTAAAATAGGAAGTTGGGTGTTAGGCAATTGTTGTGGGTTGCAGCCAGGGGAAGGTCTGTAGTTGCTAAGCACAGGCAAGCACATTGTCCAGGAATTGTTTAATGCGTTATCTGTATTCCCAGCAAAATGATGCTTGCCTAATTATTTCCAAATTTTACTTCCTGGCTATGTGGGTATATTATTGAAACCTTATGGCTATACAGTACTGAACAAATACTGTAAATCCATTTAGAAATTTTTACAGATGTAATTAATTTGATACATTTCTATTGGTTATGCCAACAAAAAAATGAATACAATATAATAGGTATCAATATGGTTTGTGTTTCAGGTGTGAAGATGCCACAAGTAATGATATTGACAAAGATGATGATATAGACACAGGAATGTTCTACACCCAGTTTGGAACTGCTCAGGTATGTAATTGAGATATTTGCATACTGTACATAGAAAATAATACATATTGCAAAATATTTTGGGCTTTTAATGATTGTTCTCAGACTAGAATCAGTGGGAATTTAAGTGCATATAATGTACTGACATTTACACTGATTTACAATTGATTGTGTTCTACATGATAAAGTTGCCTACTACCTCCTAGCCACCTTCCATCATCTCCCATTCTCTAGTCCATTCTTGGAGCTGTATTATTTTACACAGTATATTTGATTTGACTCAAATTGGTTGCCTTATGTGTTGTGAGATGTTCAAGAATTAAACCGATAGCTTTCAACCTTCCTTTGCTCATAATTATTAGGTATCCCTAATAGGAATACCTAATGATTTTCACATGATGGATGTGTGTTTTGTTATTTATATATATATATATATATATATATATATATATATATATATATATATATATATATATATATATATATATATATATATATATATATATATATATATATATATATATATATATATATATATATATATATATATATATATATATATATAGATATAGATATAGATATTTTTGTATTAATTAAAGTTGGGTGTCTGTCAGTATCCAGAAAACACCTTTTCATGTCGACTGAAACTTTAAATAGCAACTTATATAGGCCATCAGGTGCCCAGCCTAAAGCACTCTTTCAAACAAATAAGCATAGCAGCTCAAAATGTCTAAATGCATACCCAGATACCAGGGATGTGTTGAGAATATTCAAGGAAATTACATGTATGAACTATAATTTTTTTTTTTACACTAATGCATTGTAAGAAAGGTTGGATATATTATATTCAAGCTGGAAATCTGGGTCTTAAGAGCCAGATCATATAATACTGTTTGCAAATATTCATTGTAACTGTATAAAAGTTGGTTCTTGCTCTGTAAGTTCAGATAATACAAATTTAAGCTTGTACAATTTTATTTTTGAATGCTAAAATTGAGTGCACCAGGATGGGTTGAGCTGCATGCAGTATGACGATGACTTTGCCTTGTTCAGCACACTTACTTTTTTATACATCCATACTGTACAAGATGTTGCATTATAATGCATCTTATGCTGGGAGACTGTGTTGCCATCCCTGGTATCCATTCATACATTTTCTTTGAACATACCCTTATTTAGATGATAGCATGAGGTTGGCCAGCAATAGTGTTCAATTTTAAGATTGTGAATCTCAAGTTCATGAGAGATTCAGATTGAAATGTCTCCTTAAGGATAATTAATAATTTCATGTTTCATACATTTGGATTTCATCAACACCAAAACTTTGCCAAAGCTGATATCATTTTTTCATTTACATCTGAGATCACCTTCTAACAAGGCAGTTTTTCTTTTCCAAGAAAACAACAGATCCAAGAATGGTGTCTTTTTATACCCATTGCCAGTCATAAAGGTAGTGTCTTTAAAACAATTAACTGTAAATACCCCACTCTGGTAAATGAATACATAATGTTGATGTGCCAGAGGCTGTGGCATCGAGGGCATGTAGCAAATGTTTGAGGTCTTCTGCATCTTTACTGATTTGGTAACTCATATTCATAAAGTTATGCTAAAGACCCCATTCATACAATATTCATACAACTTTCTATTTTACTCTCTATTTTGCATCAAGTGCAATATACATTTTTATAGTTTGTAAGAATTCTAAACATTGTACCCTGCAATAGCATTTTAGGAGTCTATACAGAATATAAGTTGTCACAGCAAGTTTTCAGATTATTGCATGGTTTCCTATAAGTTATCAACCCGTTCTCGCAAATGTAATAAGTCAATATTGACTTATTAAATATGTGCATAGGTGACATACTTAACATAATAGATACCCTTAAAAAGATTCATAGAAAACACCGACCTTACCTAACCTTGTTAGTATCTTAAGATAAGCATCTTATTGCTTCGTAATTACAATTATTACCTAACCTATAATAGGTATAGGTTAAGTAATAATTGTAATTACGAAGCAATAAGATGCTTATCTTAAGATACTAACAAGGTTAGGTAAGGTCGGTGTTTTCTATGAATCTTTTTAGGGGTATCTATTATGTTTAGTATATCACCTATGCACGTAGTTAATAAGTCAATATTGACTTTACGAATTTGCGAGAACGGGTTGCAGTTATATTGCTCCAAAGAGAAATTACTGTTGTAATTTTATTATAGATTTGATAAGTTTTTATTACTGCTTTTACCAATTCTGATTGTCTGCAGCTTCATAATGAATATCTTTAGTATTAACCAAATTTTGCAAATCAATTTTCCTGTGTCTTCCTCAGTTTGGAGCCTGGACATCTTGGGTATGTTGGGTTGGTCTATCTATGTTTTCCCTGTTGAAGCTGTGCAAATATCACCAGCAGGAAAACATACGTGTATCCATGGCCCGTGAACGAGCCAGACTGGTTAGGGATCGACATTCACCTCTGCAAGACTAACCTTCTACCTAAATATGTCACATGTGTATCACGTAAAAGAGCAGCTTTTTAAGGACTTTTGGTTTCATACTATAACCGCACCTTGTAGTTTTGTTAAAGTAGTAAAGTATTTACTTTTCCAATATAATCTAAATTGTTTGGATGTTTAATGCTGAACTGTACTATGTATGATGACATTGGAGGCTCCAGTTTAGCCACCTTTATGTATGCAAGAATTTTCTATCTACAGTATATTACTTTATTTTGCTTGAAAGAATAGTTTATGGTTAACAGGACATCCCATAGAAAATACAATTGGAGTCCTTTTATATATATATATATTTTTTTTTCCTATGGGGACATTGTGTAGAACTAATCTTGTAGTATTTTGTTATGGAACTTATGGGAAGAATAGCATGTTGAAAGAAATAATTTTTTTACATAGCAGATCTAGGCTGGCTTGACAAAAGATGTATGTTGCTGTTAATGAGAATGTGATTTTACCTAGAGAGCATACCTGGAAAGGGTTCCAAGAGTTCTCCCCAAGTCCGCCTGGGGTCAGGCTTCACTTGTGATAAAATGGTCCAACAGGCTGTTCCTTGGACCAGCCCACATGTCCAGTATAACCCAATTGGTTTGGCACTTCTTGCAGGAACCTATCTAATTGTTTTTTTAAAAAGTTTACCTTTGTTCGGTAATATTTCTAATGCTTGCTGTGAGAGTACTGAACAGCTGTGGAACTCTGATGCTCATACAAAGCCCTCTGATTGTGCCTATGGCACCTCTGCTCATTCTATTCTGCATTTCTTTCTGTATTTTTCACTCAGTATGTTATGATGTACTCACTGACGTACTGTATTTTGAGCATGGTGATGTATGTGTGTGGAGGAGGAGAAGGGTTACTTAGGTGTGTGTGTGGAGAAGGAGAAGGGTTACTTAGGTGTGTGTGTGGGGAGGAGGAGAAGGGTTACTTAGGTGTGTGTGTGTGTGCTTACCTAATTGTGCTTACCTAATTGTGCTTGCGGGGGTTGAGCTCTGGCTCTTTGGTCCCGCCTCTCAACCGTCAATCAACTGGTGTACAGATTCCTGAGCCTATTGGGCTCTATCATATCTACATTTGAAACTGTGAATGGAGTCAGCCTCCACCACATCACTTCCTAATGCATTCCATTTGCTAACTACTCTGACACTGAAAAAGTTCTTTCTAACGTCTCTGTGGCTCATTTGGGTACTCAGCTTCCACCTGTGTCCCCTTGTTCGCGTCCCACCAGTGTTGAAAAGTTCGTCCTTGTTTACCCGGTCGATTCCCTTGAGGATTTTGTAGGTTGTGATCATGTCCCCCCTTACTCTTCTGTCTTCCAGTGTCGTGAGGTGCATTTCCCGCAGCCTTTCCTCATAACTCATGCCTCTTAGTTCTGGGACTAGTCTAGTAGCATACCTTTGGACTTTTTCCAGCTTCGTCTTGTGCTTGACAAGGTACGGGCTCCATGCTGGGGCCGCATACTCCAGGATTGGTCTTACATATGTGGTGTACAAGATTCTGAATGATTCCTTACACAGGTTCCTGAACGCCGTTCTGATGTTAGCCAGCCTCGCATATGCCGCAGACGTTATTCTCTTTATGTGGGCTTCAGGAGACAGGTTTGGTGTGATATCAACTCCTAGATCTTTCTCTCTGTCTGTTTCATTAAGTACTTCATCTCCTATTCTGTATCCTGTGCCTGGCCTCCTGTTTCCACTGCCTAGTTTCATTACTTTGCATTTACTCGGGTTGAACTTCAACAGCCATTTGTTGGACCATTCACTCAGTCTATCCAGGTCATCTTGTAGCCTCCTACTATCATCCTCTGTTTCAATCCTCCTCATAATTTTTGCATCGTCGGCAAACATTGAGAGGAACGAATCTATACCCTCTGGGAGATCATTTACATATACCAGAAACAGTATAGGTCCAAGGACTGACCCCTGCGGGACTCCACTTGTGACGTCTCGCCAATCTGAGACCTCACCCCTCACACAGACTCGTTGTCTCCTGTTGCTTAGGTATTCCTCTATCCACCGGAGTACCTTCCCTCTCACTCCAGCCTGCATCTCCAACTTTCGCACTAGCCTCTTGTGTGGCACTGTATCAAAGGCTTTCTGACAATCCAAAAATATGCAGTCTGCCCACCCTTCTCTTTCTTGCCTTATTTTTGTTGCCTGGTCGTAGAATTCAAGTAACCCTGTGAGGCAGGACCTGCCATCCCTGAACCCATGTTGATGCTGTGTTACAAAGTTCCTTCGCTCCAGATGCTCCACTAGTTTTTTTCGCACAATCTTCTCCATCAGCTTGCATGGTATGCAGGTTAGGGACACTGGCCTGTAGTTCAGTGCCTCCTGTCTATCCCCTTTCTTGTATATCGGGACTACGTTAGCTGCTTTCCAAGTATCTGGCAGTTCCCCTGTTGCCAGTGATTTGTTATACACTATGGAGAGTGGTAGGCTCAGTTCTCTTGCTCCTTCCTTTAGAACCCAAGGGGAGATTCCATCTGGGCCTATAGCCTTCGTCACGTCCAACTCTAGTAAACACTTCCTTACTTCCCCACTGGTAATCTCAAACTCTTCCAGTGGTTCCTGGTTAGCTATTCCCTCACTTACCTCTGGAATTTCTCCTTGTTCTAAGGTGAAGACCTCCTGGAATTTCTTATTCAATTCCTCACACACTTCCTTGTCATTTGTAGTGAATCCTTCCGCCCCTATCCTTAATCTCATAACCTGTTCCTTTACTGTTGTTTTTCTCCTAATGTGGCTATGCAACAATTTAGGCTGAGTCTTTGCCTTGCTTGCGATGTCATTTTCGTATTGTCTTTCTGCCTCTCTTCTCATCCTGACATATTCATTCCTGGCATTCTGGTATCTTTCTCTGCTCTCCAGTGTCCTGTTATTCCTATAGTTTCTCCATGCCCTTTTACTTTGCTGCTTAGCTAGCCTACATCTTTGATTAAACCATGGGTTTCTCATCTTCATTTCTCTGTTTTCCTTTTGGACTGGGACAAACTTGTTTGCTGCGTCCTTGCACTTCTGCGTGATGTAATCCATCATATCTTGGGCCGTCTTTCCCCTGAGCTCTGTTTCCCATGCTATATCTGTTAGGAATTTTCTTATCCCCTCATAGTTTCCCTTTCGGTATGCTAACCGTGTGTGTGTGTGTGTGTGTGTGTGTGTGTGTGTGTGTGTGTGTGTGTGTGTGTGTGTGTGTGGGGAGGAGGAGAAGGGTTCCTTAGGTGTGTGTGTGTGGAGGAGGAGAAGGGTTACTTAGGTGTGTGTGTGTGGAGGAGGAGAAGGGTTACTTAGGTGTGTGTGTGGAGAAGGAGAAGGGTTACTTAGGTATGTGTGTGTGTGTGTGTGGAGGAGGAGAAGGGTTACTTAGGTGTGTGTGTGTGGAGGAGAAGGGTTACTTAGGTGTGTGTGTGTGGAGGAGGAGAAGGGTTACTTAGGTGTGTGTGTGTGGAGGAGAAGGGTTACTTAGGTGTGTGTGTGTGTGGAGGAGGAGAAGGGTTACTTAGGTGTGTGTTTGAAAAGGAGTAAATATGCTTACCTAGTTGTGTCTACAAGAGCATTATTCAGCTTTCGAATGTTTCCAAGTAGGTATGATACTCTGTGCTTGATACTTCAACTTTCCAGTACTGTCATACTTGCTCTAGAAACTGTAAAAGATGGTTGCTTCCACCACCTCTGGTTCAAGCTTATTCCACTAGTTAACTGCCCAATGCAATCAAGTATTTCCTTATATTTATCTGGATCGTCTATTGTGTCAACTCTCCCCTATGCCCCCTTATTTTGTTCTCTCTATCTTGAGGTTATCTTGAGATGATTTCGGAGCTTAGCGTCCCCATGGCCCGGTCCTTGACCAGGGCCTCCTTTTTGTTACAATCCCTCAGGAAGTAGCCTGGGAGTGCCCATAATAGAACTAATTGCATGTGTGCAGTTGTCTAACTCCCAGGTACCTATTTACTGCTAGGCAAATAGGTACATCAGGGCGAAAGAAACTGCCCATTTGTTTCCGCCTCCATCGGGGATCGAACCCGGAACCTCAGGACTATGAATCCGAAGCACTGTCCACTCAGCTGTCAGGCTCCAAACCTCTAACCTAGAAAGAGTTGCTATCATTTTTTGTATTCCCTCCTGCATCTTAAATATTTAGACTTGACTTTTTCTCTTAGCTCAGTGTCTCTTACCACTTGTACCTGTCTTGTTATAAATCTTTTGATCTTGTACATTTTCTTCTTGTGCCGTGTTTAAATACTGCTGTTTGTGTCGTTTTGGATGTATGAAGTGTCTTGAGGTGAGAGGCAGTGCTATACTGTAATTGCAGTTGAATCTGCATACTCACAGTCAGTATGGTACTTTACTGTTCTTTGGCATGTTTTTCATTAACAGCATTATACATAACATTGAGTATTGTAATTGTAATTTATTTACTCTGCTTATATATATATTTTTAAATGTACCAGTACTGTAATTCAACGACACCTTTGTTACTGCCGTTATCTCAATTATGTATGATCAATTTTATTACCAATACAGTACTGTGTGTATTTTTATGATGACTGACTTTGGTAAAATAAGAAATGCATTGAGATTCATTTGTTTATTCATGTATTGGCCACATTGTGTTCCAATTCCAATTTTCTACTAGGATACTACACTTAACTGTTCATTATTCATAATTGACTTTATATTGGCTTGGAAATTTGTGTAGGTTTATAAGTACCTTTTAACATTTAAGATACTGTATGCTGTAAATGCAGTTAATGTTCATTGGTTAAATTGCTTATTCAACAGTGGGGGTTCCCAATGTTTCCACTTACTGTTCTCACAATGTGGTCTAGTTTGTATGGCTTGAATTTAAAATGTTTTATGCATTTAATTGCCAGCGCTTATTTTTGCTAATTGCACTAAGTTTTGTGTGTACCTGGAGAGGGTTCTGGGAGTTGTTCTACTCCCCGAGCCCGGCATGAGGCCAGGCTCGAAGGTCTTCAATGAGGACAAGTTGAAGGCCTTCAATGAGTGCATGTTCATTGAGGACGAGTTGAATTACCTGTACACAAGGAAATTTTAAAATCTTGTTTCCCACACGTGTACCTTTTAATAGTGATGTTAAATACATAAACATCTGGGTAAATATATTGACATTTAATATCCAACAGGCCATAGACTGGGAATGCTATATCTGGGATATATTTCAACCCTCATAAATCCCTGTTGAAAATATGGAGTGTATCTAAAAACTCTTAATGGGTTAATATTCTTCAATTTGTAAGAGGTGACATAATTGTGTGTATCATATTCATGTAGTTTTGTGCTTAATGTTCAATTGTGTGAGGATTTTAGCACTAAGTACTATGAAATGTTTGCAAGAATGTTTGAACACTTTTTGGTGAAGAGGTCGTTGTGTGTTGAGAATGCGGAGTGTGTGTTAAAAGGGAAATTTAGAGTTTGGAACATTAATATACTGTAACAGCAAAAGGCAGGTTGATTCCCTGAGGATGAGTGTTGTGCAGACAATTTTATGTTCTTAGAATGCTATATGACAAGGACGGGTAGTTTATTTAAAAGAAGTACAGTATTCGAATGAGAGGAAACCTTAGTGGAATTACAATGTTTTCATTGGCATTAATGGATATAAATATAATGCAAAAGAAATAAGAACTTAATAGTATTAAACTTTATGATAAATACTGTAGTAGCTTTGCCGTATGCCAATGCTGTACTGTAGTACGTGCCCTTTGTTAATGTATGCACGTAGCAGTATTTTACTTTATACAGTGGTAAGAACTACGAAGTGAGGGGTGACTAATGTGCTGGATGTAAACTTCAGTGATGAGAACATATGTCATTTTATGGATTGGACAAATGTATGCCAATTTTATACACAGTGTTCG